TAGGTCGTACCAATAACCATAATCAGTTTAATCGAGAATAGGAGAATTATCTTTGCATCTATGATTGAATCGTTGAACCATCTCTACGAGTTTTTCCTTTGGTTGGATATCTTCTCTATTTCTAATCACTCATTTTGTTCTCGTTCTATTTTCATCTCTAGTTAGATTTATTTTGTTTTAGTTTTCTTAGTTAGATAAAAATCATCAAACCCCCATTATTTTTATTTTTCTTTCTTTCAAGAATAATTGCATCAATACTTTGTCTAGCCAATCCCCGTGGATTCGACCCTGCTTACCACTACTACAGTTATTTTAAAAGCAGGAATTTATTATTGTTGGATTCGACACCCATCACCTTATCCTAAGATTTGATATAATCTCTTTCCTTATCCTAAGATTTGACTTGGTGGGCAAGAAATAATAACTTTATTAATTAAATATCTTATTTATCTTGGATTTATGTCCCAAAAATAAATAAAGACATTAATTAATAAAATATTAAAATTTCGGTGTCTACAATAAGGAAGGTCAAAACAGTGAAAATTATTAAAATGAGGGTAATTTGGACTTTAACTTCTTGGGATTTGATTAATCCCATGTAAATGGAGGAATTCAATTATCCTGAATTCATGGGATAATTCATTTTTTTTATCCTGGGCCGACCCAATCCCGCGGGCCTTAATACAGTGAACCAAATGTAGGATTAGACCAGGATTAGGCTGGATATCCTGCCTAATCATACAAAACAAACAGACACTTAGTGAAAAATTACTATACCCATAAAAGTTTTGTGAGCATTAAGCCACTGAGTTTTAATGATCTCCTTATAGACATTCAGACTTTTGAAATCAATTGTGACTATGGAGTTGTCAAATCTCACGAATAACTTTGAAAGTAGTATTTCTATATGCGAATAAAGTGAACAAGAAGAAACTTAAATGTATGATACAAAATTTGAAGTTGTTGCCCTTCTAAATCGTGCATTGAATAATTTTTTTTTTTCGGTACAATAAAGGAGGCCAACGGTCTAGAAGCGTAATAACATTAGCCTAGAACACGCCGGGATAGGAACGTGCATTGAATAATTAGCTTATGATGTAGCGGGTTAGAACCAATATGGTTGTATAGAGCACTTGAAAATTAGATTATTCAAGAGCACTGTATTTTTCACCTCAAGAAGCTCTTAATATGAGCACAACTTCATATTTTCATCGCACAATTCGAGAGATGCTTGAAAAATCTCTGAGAGACAAATTGAAGGAGCATATGCCATGAAGAATCCGAAACTTAAGAAAATCATGTCCAAAAGTTGATTATATTTGTATGAAAGAAGAGAATACTTATTCTCATATGCTTGATTTGTGATTTCTGTCAACCAGCGTGTACGATGTTGGGAAGAAATTGCTAAACCTAGGTAAATTTGAAAGATTCTAGAAAGTCTTCTTAAGAGATTTCCGAACAAAAATCTTCACGACGGTTGAGCCATTTCGCATTAATGACCTCATCGTAGACCTGCAAACATTTTTTACCATGGTAAAAAATTCTACAAAAATGCAGCAATTATAGTTCTAAATGAGAAATGACATTAAATAATAATAATAATAATAATAATAATAATAATAATAATAATAATAATAATAACAACAACAACGCCGTAAAAGCAATCAAAATGACAACATTGTCCCCACTCCCCAAAATTGCGTATCTCGTCTTGACTAAAAACAGATATGCAATCGTTTGTCACTTTGTGTCCACAGCACCACAGAAACCTCCAAAATCATCTTTCAATGTCCAACCGCAAGCTCACAAGTCTTCACCTTTACCATTAAAATCACTCATAAACACCATTTTTGATAGCAACCACTCATCAATAAAGCCACTTTTTCCCACAAGCCCACTCCTCAAAACTGTGAAACAGATCAGGAAAAAAAAAAAAAAGCACCCAAAAAAATGGAGGCAGAAGTTACAGAGATTCTATTGCCCCAAAAGGCAGAGATTCAAGAACCCGATTTCGGGCTGAAAAGCTACAGCTCGGGCCTGAAATGGGTTTTTCTAGACTATTCCAGCTTGTGGCGGGCCGGGCTTTCTTGGTCGATATTTTTCCTGCTGAACATCGGCGTCCCGATCGTCTCCCACTTCGTGTTTTCTTGCTCCGATTGCGATCCTCATCATCAGCGGCCGTTCAATGCGATTGTCCAGCTGTCGCTTTCGCTGCTTGCGACGATTTCCTTTGTCAGCCTCTCGTCTTTTGCGCGCAGATATGGCCTTCGAAGGTTTTTGTTTCTTGATAAGCTTTGCGATGAAAGCGAGAACGTCCGGCAAGGATATACTCACCAGCTTCATGTATGAATTTCTGATTCAGTATAAATGTATAATAATCTTGTTGGTGGGCTAAATTTGATGTTTCTTGTCTGAATTTTCTACTTAATCGTGTGTTTTTTTTGTAACTTCCCATGTTTTCCCAAGGTTTGTCTGACTTCTGTTGGTTCGATCAAGAACTGGAAAATGTCTGTAGCTTTTGGTTCACTGATCAAACTCTGATAGGAATAGGATGCTACATATTGGAATTCATTTCAATCTGACTCATATTTCAATCTAATCCGATGAATCCTTAAATAAAGTCATCTTATTTTTGGATAATGCTACAATCCCGTTACGGGATGACTCCGTTGTTTTTTTTAGCCGTAGATACACATGTAAATCAGTTATATGTAGATCAGTTATGTGTAGATAATATACGCTTGAAAAGAACAACGGAATCATCCCGCAACGGGACTGTAGCCTTCCCCTTATTTTTCCCCTAATGCTGCAATCAAATTTGTGTGAAGTGCAGTTGGAACTGAAATTCTTAGCTAACACGAAAGTAAACTTTTGGACCTTGCTGCATAATATACAACAAATACACGAATTAATCCAAATAGGATGAGTTAATATAGTAAAAAAACCACTAGTTCTCACTAACTGTTAGCCTTATTCTTTTGATGAAATGAAAACATCCCAATTCCTTTTTTTTTTTGGCAGAGATCGATGAAGCTCTTATCTGCTTTCGTCCTCCCGTGTTTCTTTGCAGACAGCATGTACAAGATATGGTGGTTCACTTCAGGGGGAAATCAAATCCCATATTTGTACAACATGTATTTAAGCAAAGTAATTGTGTGCATACTACTAATGTGTTCGTGGCTGTACCGAACCTCGATATGTTTCCTCGTGTGTGTTCTGTTCCGGCTCACGTGCTATCTCCAGATATTGAGATTGGAGGAGTTTGCTCAGGTCTTCGAGAAGGAATCTGACGTGGCATCCATCTTGATCGAGCACCTCAGGATCAGACGAAATCTGAGGGTCATAAGTCACCGGTTTAGGCTCTTCATTTTGTTGACTCTGATTCTTGTGACCTTAAGTCAGTTTCTTTCATTGCTGGTTACACTCGAGCCTAGCTCGACTGTCAATCCTTCCACGGCTGGGGAGCTCGCTGTAAAATTTTCAATTCGAAACTTATATTTTTGGATTTTATTTAAATTTATCCTTTTCTGAATGTGTATATGTTTTTTGCAGCTATGCTCCGTCACACTAGTGACGAGTCTTTTCTTCTGCTTGAGGAGTGCAGCTAAGATAACGCACAAGGCTCAGGCGGTGACATCACTCGCCGCCAAGTGGCATGCCTGCGCGACTATCGACTCGTTTGACGAGCCACACGATGACACGCCGACAGCTGTCGGGATAGCGCCGGCGGTCGCCAGCTGGGACTCGGACAATGAGGAAGCTGATGGAGAAGATGTGCTTGATAACACAAACCTTGTCCCAATCTACGCAAACACCATATCGTACCAAAAAAGACAAGCGATAGGCAAGTGGGGCTTTTTCTTCTTCTTATTATTATTTTTAGAATGTCTGATGAGAATAAGATTTTGAATGAAACCTCAAACGAAACCTTAGGATGCAAATTTATCGATGCACATTGTCTTTGTGATGCAGTGACGTATTTTGAGCACAACAAAGCTGGAATTACGGTGTACGGATTCATGCTGGACAGGACTTGGCTGCACACGATTTTCGCTATTCAGCTCTCGCTCACATTGTGGATCTTGAACAAGACGATTGGCATTTCATGATCCGAGTCGACATTTTTATGTGGTATTTTTCGGTAATGCTCGTGTCTGTAGTTTCTTCTTGCTGTTAATATAGTTAGGGGAGTTTTTGTGAATGGCCGACTTTTGAATTTATCTTAAAGTCTTGTTGTAGTGTTCATATATGGTTGTCACTAGAAATGCTTTCATTTGTTTGGATGTGTCATTTGACAAAGTTCTAAAAAGAAGGTTGTTAAGGTTCCAGTGTCTACCAAGCTTTAGATGTCTCCCTGTTGCTTGAAAAATTCTTACTTCAACAAATTGCTGTATTTTTGGGACTTCAAAACTTCAGTCTCGAACCATATACTACTCTTACCTTTTCTTATTTAATTCATATATTAATTATTATAAATATGTATTTTTTTTATTTTTAAAACATTATATCTTTTTGAGGTGTGCACTTTTTGACCTTACCACCTCCGTCCTTAGGCCGGTGGCTCGAACATGATTTCATTGGGGTGGCTTATCCCCGTCGTGTTTTGTCCTCGTAGTTAGTTGGCTTCGGCCCCCCTTTATTGTACCAAAAAAAAAAAAAAAAAACATTATATCTTTTTGTATGTGTATTTTATGTTTTATATATGATATATCAAAGTAATTACATTTTAATGATATTTGCTTTGTCATCCATATTGCATATATAAAATAAAAATAAAAATCATCTAATTTTTAAAATGAAAATAATATTATTATCAAATCCATTTAAAAATATCAAATAACAATATATATTATTTTATAAGAATAATAAATTTAATTCATTAATACACAATAAAATAATTATTTTAATGTATTTTTTCATAGATTGTGGATAAAAAATGAAATTAAGTATTACATAAAAATAAATTTTACAGAAATATTATAAAATATCATTTATGGATTTAGATAAATTGTATAAATAAATTGAATGTTATTATGTCGTTTAAATAATAAATATAAAGGAATATCTTAATTATAAATAATAAAATAATTTTATATTTCATAAAGTTAGAAAGTAATACCTTTATGAATAAATTAATATTTATATTATTACATTACATGAATTTGAAATACTTGAAAAACTAATAAACGAGAAAACACTGACTCTATAAATATAATATTTTTTTAAAAAGAAAATTGAATCAAATATATGAGTTTGTAAATAATATTTTTTTTTACACATCCATAATTTTAAAAATATAATTAAAAAATATAATTCAAATTTTTAGTGCAAAACATATAAAGGAAATTTGAATTAATTACCACTTTGTTAGTTATTTATTATTATTGTATATTCAACATACATAATTTCATAATAAAAATATAATTTATTTATTTTATTGTACAAATATTAATATATTTAAGCACTTGTGTAGTTCACGAGTATCATACTAGTTTTTATTATATACATGAGTTCGAAAATAAATACAAAATAAGTTTTTAATTAAACAAATATTATAATTTAAATGAAAGTAAGAGTATAATAAATATTTCACATGCACGAGGTGAACGAGGCAACGTGCGGTGCGAGGCAACCAACATACTTTTCTGCGCCTCGTACAGTAAATGTACGGTTGAGATTGAAGTTTTGATCAATTTAACGGTGACATGTAAGAATACCTATTGTATTTGGTTATAATAAGAAAGTATAATTATTCATACTACATAATGAATTTCCAACAAAAAAAAAAGGTCATACAGAAACACTAGGTTAGTTAATTAACATGCAATTTAATCAATGATAATGATTCTAAACCTAGTTGTATGAAATTATGGAAGATGCTACAGTCTCGTTACAGAACTATTCTATCGGGATTTGTAACCGTTAGATCAACTATCTTTGACGGTTACAAATTCCGACGGAATAGTTCCGTAACGAGACATTAGCATTTACGTAAAATTATATGCACGGGATGCACTAGTTGATTTTTACTGTTGAG